TATTATGTAGCCCTTGCACTGACACTCCACCTCCAAAGCACGTTGTCCTCTCTATAAAACGCCCTATAGAAGTTACCACAGCTCTGTCTGAGACTTTACACAAACCCACTGACTCCATATTTAGCGGCTGTTGGTGGTCCGCGGATAACAGGTTAGGAATGCTCGTTATTTTGCAATTCTTCTTAACATACAACACATGTTCATGAAGCAGTTAATGAGCTCTTGCTGATTTTGATGTTCCCCCGCTGGTCTTACAATTCACATAATAGGTTTATTATTAATCCTGAGGAAAAGGTTGTGGATCTCCAACACACATTGAGCTTTAAAAAGGACTTCAAAATGTATTGAAGATTGACAGGAAACCAATGTCTACTCTGAGTAAGTACTGAATAAAGGCACTGTCCTAACAAATCGAGTGCTTGTAATTTCCTACTTTCCATTTATACAAAACACACAAAGTCCCAGGACCAATACACTGTCAGTCGAGCAATTTATTACCTTTATCAGACACCAGTATAATTTTGGTCTGCACTTTCAACAGTTTCTTTATTGCATATACAATGTGCAGAAACAATAACTGTTTGGTCTGTTTGCACAGTCAATTCGCAAAAGGTGTCTACCACTTGTAAATAAAAAACAAAAGTAACTACATATTGTTCACCAGATGGTACAGGACTCCCAGTGCTCTCCATCAAATGTTTCCTCAAGTATCCACCTGTTGTTGGAGATGTTTGGAGGTAGAAGGAACCCTTATATATATTTTTTGAGAGTGTCCTAAATTGTAGGAGTTCTGGGATTTTGCAGAGCTCATGATCAATACCCTTACAGATGTGGCTCTGGAAAGAATGCCAGCAGCATATTTGCTGCAAGACACCCCATTCCCCTCATTACCTAAATTCCTCCTTAATGCTGCAAAAGCCTACATACCGACAATGTGGAATCAAAGCTCACTTCCGACCATCTCACAGTGGCAGACAAGGATCATTGAAATTCAACAGATGGAACAGCTTACTATGGCTTTGAGAGAGCAGGATGAGAAATACTAGCAAACATGGAGACCCTGGTTCTTCTATAGAGACCAAACTCTCCTAGCTCCCACACCATAAGCCTCAGCCCTAGGTATCAATACCCAAAGAGCCAACTCTATGAATCTTATTAAGAGGGGATGGCTGGAAGTATCTGGACAATCTCCTCCCCTCCAGTGTTCTACTTTTCTTCCACCCTCTTTTTTCCCTACTAGTTTATTCTACATCTACTTCCCCTTATACCCTCTTCCAATCACCTTTCTAAACTTTCCTCCTACTATTTTCCCAGCTTTTCTTCAATAATTCTTGACTGTTCTCTAAAATTAAAATGTGCTACTAGAAAGGAAAGACCGCTGTAATCAGGTCATACAGACCTTATCCTGTAATGATACCTTGTAGTAATGTTCTACAGGGGTGTGGACATTTTTTAAAGAACTACTTGTCCAAGGGACTAAATCGGGGTCCCAATCTACTTGTCCCTCATGACAATCTACTTGTCCTGATTGAAAAAAAAAAATTTGCCAAGATGTAAAATATGAAGGGTTGATGTTTTTATTAGGCAGAAGTGCTTTTAGGAATGTCTTGGGCTTTGTAAAACGAAAAAGGGGCTTTATGCCAACTTAAACTTTGATTATTTTTTATTTTTTTGCTAGAAAAAATTCTTAGAACCCCCAAAGAAGCCCTAGAGAATAAATTGGTGGGTGTTGCAATTTTTTATGTCACCCAATATTCGCACAGCGGTTTTTTAGAAGCAATTTGTTTGGAAAACATGTACACTTTCTAAAATTTTAATGCAATAAACCCCACAATTCATAACCATTTTTTTAATTAAATGTATAAGATGATCTTATGCCAATTAAAAAGATACCAAACATGTCAAACTTTAAAATTGCACATACCTGTGCAACGGCAACAATGTAAATTTACTATTCTAAGGTGATGAACGCTGTTTGCATGTGTGTGGGACCGATGCGTGTGTTCACTTTTGCACGCATGCATGGGGGGATGGGACATCCCTCCTCTGCCCATAAAGCATTTGATTACACCAAGATCTGTGTGCATAAATGCTTTTCTTTTTTTAAAAATGGTGCGGTTTACATTCGGAGAAACTGGATTGTATGCTCATTGCTTCCGGTTTCCTATATTATAGAGGTGAACAGAGCTGTTCCAGTCTTTGTCCGCCTCTATGATCAGCTGGCAGAAGTGTCGGCTGGTTGATTGGGTGTCCCAGTGGGACGGAACAGCCTGCATAAGGCGGCAGCACGTTCCCTCCTGCTTCTTGTAAAAGCGATCCAGTGGATGGTTAGCCACTCAAATTGCTTTTACAAGAGAGCTGGGGGGGGGGGTGGGGGTTTGAGGGCTGGTATAGGCTGCACTCTCAGCCTAGGTTCACACTTGTGTGGTGCAGGACACCACATGTGATTTGCCCAGGAATTGCACCAAATTCTTGTGCACATCACATCCGAACCAAAATGGTGCAGGGCCCTTTTTTTTGGCTGCACCTGAATCGCATTGCATGACATTTTGCAATCTGTTTCAGGGTGTCATTAATTTAACATTTACCTCTGAAGCAGAATGCACGAACGCTGTATGATTGCAATGCAGGAAATGCACAGGATTCGCACTGCATTAGTATAAATAGTGTTCAGAGGTTTATATAAGGACAGGTATTGATGGCATCTCTGTTCCCTGTATGGAGGTCTCCCCCCTGACTACTGGGCATCCCCACCCAATGAAGTCTGAAAGGTCCACCAAGGGCCCCCAAGTAACAAACCATCTAGTCTTTAGAGAAACTTGACATTAGCAGAGAAAGGACTATAACTCCCAGCATCCATGGGGCGGCCAATGCAGCCTGTACTCAGTCTTCCTGGTAACCGGACTTTACCATGCTGCAGGCCCAGGGAGGTGAAGGGGGTGCCACAATAGCCCAGCGGTGACATGCCAGGAGGGGGAGGAGCTCCGGAAGAAGAGGTGGGCCGCACTGCCCGGCCATGACATGTCTAGAGGAGAAGGAGTTTAGGGGCCAAGCCGTACACCCAAGTGCAATAGGACAGCCAGTGGAAGGAGGAGGGGGGCCATCAGCTCTAAACGCTGCCGCTTCCCCGCAGCAGGGCTAAATGTGAAGAAAAAGCTCTTGCCTGGCGACCAGAACTGCATGTCCCAAGCGTTGAGCGATTGGCATCACACATACCTGGTTCTAAATGACTGCACTTGTTTTGTCTTATTTTGTTCATGTATAGATTTTGGACAGCTCTTTTCTCTTACAGAATTTATAAAAAAAAAAAAAAAATGCAGAAACTAGTATAAACTACCAGCTATGGTTACAGTGAATCTGGAAAGGGCCCAATAGGAGAAAACCTCACTAACATCTACCATTACAATAATATGTGGACGGACACCTATAATAGGACCCTAAGCTGGTACAACAGCATGTCGGATTTCTACATACATTACATATTCAGTAGCTAGAGCCGCTAGCAATTATCACTGTGTTCTCCCAGCAAGGATGGCTTTCCACATACCACCCCCACCTCCATACACACACACAGCATTCCCCCCATCAACTGGCTGTGTAGATGGGGGAATGTAACAGCTTTTTTTCCTGCAACCCATGGTTGCAGGAAAGAAAATCAAGATATCTATGGCCTGCCTAAGGGCAAGAGAGGTAGTAGAGAGAAAGACTGTTGTGTGCAAGTGATATATAGCATTTTGAAAGAGGAAATAAATATAATGGCTTCATATGATCATCATCCTTCAATAAAAGAGTATTTTTTGGCATAATCAGTCCTATTTTCAATATCAATGCCAACATTTCACAATTTCTGCCAGGGTATGCAAACTTTTGAGCACAACTGTATCTGCAATCTGTGATGCAATGTGTAAACAAAATTCCAAAAAACCACAATACACATCTAATGTGTAAAACAATATGTGCAGTCTTTAAATCAGGTCCATGTGTTAAACTGAATATACATTCAACTCGTGCTGATAATAATTCAACCAGTGATCCCCACATGTGTTTCCATCAGCTGTCACTCTCTAAACTCACCTGAAGAAATTGACCTACAATATAAATAGGCCACCATGTACGGTCCCCTATTTAGGGGCTTTCAAATATCTCCTGTTGATAGCTCCAAATAGACCACCTTCTCTCTCCCCGTCTTCGGTAACAGCAAAAGATATAACTCCTTGCTCATCAGTCACCTGACCTCCTCACACTGGAGACTACAAATCCCTCTCTCTCTTCACTGGACATAAAGGCAGCAGCAGGAGCCACTGTCTGGTCAAACAGCACTGTGTGTGTGCGTCAATGGAAGCACACATCCTGGCTCAGGATTGCACCCACACATGTGCCTCATAGCAAGCAGCTTGCTATGAGGGATTTGGAAGGAAAAAAAGAAGGGGAACCAAGAGTGCTGGTAGGGGACCCATTAAAGAGGAGGATCTGGGCTTCTCTGTGTAAAACCATTACACTGAGCAGGTAAGTATGACGAGTTTGCTATTTTTAAAATAAATGAACCTTAAGAATCACTTTAAATCTAAACTGATAAGTTGTAAAGGCTTTTAAAGCATCACCTATAGAGATTTTGGGTACCATAGTCTTTTGCAATATCATGGGCGCACGTAATTCTATGACTCGATATGTTTGGTATCCATTTCTTTTTGATGAAATCTCATCTTTTATAATTTTACCAAAAATGGGTATTACGTGGTTAGTGTTTGTACTAAAATTCATATTTAAGAAAATATGTGTTTAATAAAATAGTTGCACAAATACAGTGTGGCATAAAAAATTGCAACTCTCTCTTTATGCTACATGTCCTCTGCTTTCAGAAAATAGATAAAATTCTGTTCTGAGGGTTTTAAGCAATTCTAAAACCAAAAAAAGCAAATTTTAAACGTGTTCAAAAATTGCTCTAATGCCAAAGTGGTTAAAAGGACATTATGAAATGTAAAAATGATCAGTGTACTTACTGCTTGACTGCAGCCTAGACATCCCATTTGCTGCACCATGGAGGTTAGAATCAAAACTTTGGCTGTTTCGTACAGTGACTGGGGAAACCACTGTGCTTGCTGTTGTGTTTGGCATTCGAGCCAAATTAGGCATGCTTCTTCGTAGTTTATCTAGATAGAAACAAGATAGCATTCTAGTCAAAGGATACATACAAAACTAACATTAAAAAGGAATGAAAAAGGCCTTTAAAAACACAAATGACTTCACCAATACATTATAACAAACCCATCTTCTAATAATTTTTATAACCACCTAAAATCAAACTCGTCCGGCAACAGTGGTCTTTGTCACTTGTCTATCTCACTGGACCAAGAATCAGCATAAACACATTCGTTCAACGACCATGGATGTGATGAGGAAAGTTTAAAGCTGTGCTGTGTGGTGTGTAAGGGCCACTTCACACCATAATATGTTCAAAACACACTGCCTTTGAGATCGCTGCAGGTGCCAATACATGTTAACGGCACTCCTAAAGCAGATCGCAAATGCAGTGCCTTTGCAGGCAACAGATCACATGGCACCATAGTACTATAAAATTTGGTGCAGCGCATTTTTCCAAAGTATTGCAAGCTTTATTTTTTGTGCATTCCAGTGTGATTAGCAGTCCACAAATGAATGGGCTGACAAATTACACTGCAGGAACACACAGAAAACCGCACAAAAATGCGGACCACATTCCTGTGCAATTCTGGTTTGAACCAAGCCCAAATCAAAAGATTAGAGAAGAACAATACATTTATGTACTGTATTACTATCACATTTTTAGCAGTTTTCTGGGGTTGAACGTTTTTGCACAGAGTGGTCACTTATGGGTTAACACACATACTCTAATGAGTGGCCACTGAGGTGTATTTGCACATACTGCAAAGACTAGTCATAGAGCAGTTGGTGCACATAGAACAAACTGGTCAATGATAGGTTAACATTTGTATTCTAGAGCCTGAACAATGCAAGTACTATGAAGAATTACCACTGAAGAGTTAATGCTCTTACCGTGGGGACTGATCAGAAATAATGCATGTTCTCTGGGGACTGATTACTGAGGGATAGATGCACATGCACTGGAGCGGGTCACTGCAATAACTACACATACAATGAAGTCTAGTCATGGAGGCATTAATACTCTACATCAGGCATGTCCAAAGTCCGGCCCGCGGGCCAATTTCAGCCCGCGTTCCGGACTGAAACAGCCCCACAGGTGAGCTACCCAAATATATAACTTACGGCCCCCGGTAGTGATTCCCTGAAAGCTACTTAGGACTCCAGCGATCTCTAGCTGCGGCACTTGACAGCATCAGCTGGCGCAGGAAGGAGAGCCCAAATCTTGCGACGTCCGAGATCTCGTGAGATTTGGGCTTTCCTTCTCTGTGTGCTGGCTGATGACGTCAATTCCCGCTCGACAGATCCCTGGAGTCCTCAGTGGCGTTCGCAGAATCACTAGTGGAGGGCCGTAAGTTATATATTGGGCAGCTCATCTGTGGGGTCCGGAACGTGGGCCGAGGGACAGTGCAAGGAGAAACAAAGCCCAAATCTCGCGACCTCCGAGATCTCGCAAGATTTGGGCTTTCCTTCTCCCTGTGCTGGCTGATGACGTCAAGTCCAACGGCAAGAGAGTGCTGAGCCTCCACACAAAGCCACAAGGGCCACCATTAAGGCAGAATATTAAAAGTAAAAAAAACACAGACAACACACTGACAGGCAGGCCGGGCTGTGCTCAGGATACATTAAAGCAGACAAGGGAGCATATAGGAATCTGGTAGCAAGCTGTAATACCCTTCATTAACCCCTAACTGTCCTTCACTGTGCTATAATGCCATGATTATCTGATTTGTTACTATTGCACAGCCTGCTATTGTCTGCCTGTGTTACAGTATCCTATCTTTGCTGTTCCACCCTCTGCTCCTCGTAGTCTCTACATAACTTCTCCCCTTCTGGCCAATTTTTATAATGGCAACTACAAATAAGAAACGAAAAGTTGACAGTGAGGGCCGCCGCTTGCAGGACAGGTGGAAAGTGGAATATTTTTTCACTGAAATACGGAATCACTGTGTTTGTCTGATATGCCAAGAGACTGTGGCTGTTTATAAGGAATTTAATATCAAGAGACACTACCAGTCGAGACATAGCACATACGACAAGCTAACAGGGCGCGACCGCAGTGAAAAGTTGAAGCAACTTGAAGCTGTTTTAATGTCACAACAGCGATTTTTTACAAGAGCCCGTGTGAATCAAACGAAAATGCCACAAAGGCTAGCTATGAGGTGGCAGCGTTAATTGCTAAAAATTGCAAATCTTTTGCTGAGGGTGAGTTTATCAAAGAATGTGTCATGAAAATGGTGCAGAATATCTGTTCCGAGAAGAAGCAAGAGTTTGCCAACATTTGCCTGGCTCGTAACACCGTAGCAAGGAGAATTGAAGAAATTTCATCAGATATTAAGAGACAGTTAACGTCAAAAGGAGTTGATTTTGACTTCTTTTCAATAGCCTGTGATGAAAGCACGGACCTCTCTGACACAGCTCAGTTGCTGATTTTTCTGAGAGGGGTGGACCATGAAATGTGACTGAGGAGCTGCTTGACCTCCAGAGCCTTAAGGACCAAACAAGAGGAAAAGATTTATTTGTCTCTGTTAGTTCTGCCATAGATGACAAGAAACTGCCTTGGAACAAGGTTACTGGGATTATTACTGATGGGGCACCTGCCATGACTGGTGAACGAAGTGAATTATCAACCCTAATCTGTAACAAGGTGATTGAAGAAGGAGGCAACGCTATCAAACTTCATTGTATCATTCATCAACAAGTTCTCTGTGCTAAACATCTCAAATATGATCATGTTATGAAACCGGTGCTAAAGACCATTAATTGCATCCGCTCTAAAGCCCTGTGCCACCGCCAGTTTAAACAGTTTTTACTGGATATCCAGGCTGAATACGAAGATGTTTTATATCATAATGATGTAAGATGGCTCAGTCGGGGGTCTGCACTGCAGCGTTTCTACTCTCTCAGAAAGGAAATTGGAGAATTCTTGGAAACAAAGGGACAACCGATGCAAGAACTATCTGATCCTATTTGGCTGGCTGATTTGGGGTTTCTAGTCGACATAACAAAGCATCTGAATGTACCGAACACGAGTCTTCAGGGCAAAGATGCAGCGGTGAACCAGCTTTACTCACACCTCAAAGCCTTTGGAACAAAGCTGCAACTTTTCCTAAGGCATTTGTCACAAACGCAGCCCAATACTGTTCACTTTTTAGCGTTGCAGGAAATAATGAACAGTTTTCCACAGGATGATATCAGTGCACAAACGAGCAGGTATGCAGCAGACATCGCATCTCTGGCTGGGGAGTTTAAACGGCACTTTCAAGATTTTGCAGCTATTGAAAAGGAGATCAGCATTTTCTCCTCTCCATTCTCTGTTGACCCCGGCAATGCTCCAGATCAGCTGCAGCTCAAGCTCATTGAGCTGCATTGTGACAGCGAGTTATGCAGTCGTCACCAACAGCTCTCTCTTGTGAACTTTTACCGCCAACTGGATAAGAGCCGGTTTCAAGAGATTCGAACATTGGCTAAGAAAATGTTGAGCTTGTTGTGACTCTCACCTGCGTGACATTTTGCGCATCAAAACCACGGCCTTTGAACCAGACCTAATCTATGTGCTGCAGTCCAGATCTCAGTTTCACCCTTCACATTAGTGCAGGCAAGTTTTTTTTTCAATTGAGAGGAATACATTGTAAAATCTCAGTTAATGTCAGTTGGTCTAAATCAGTTCTAAATATATTTGAACACATGTATACTTGGTGTTATGTTCCTGTTCACATTTTTTGAACTTAAAAGTTGACAGACAACCTTCATACTTTGTGTAATGTACTTTCTAAGGTTCCTGACATATTTCAGCTTCCTGTTTTTTTGAGATTAAAGGCAGAGTGATTTAACACCTGTTTAGATTTGTCATCCAAGTCACAAAATGAAAAGTATGCCGTTTTCAATAAACTTTTGCATAAAATAGTTAATTTGCATTTAATTTTAATGGTTCATCAGAATGTCGGGCAAAATGGTCGGCCCTCGCACATGTTCACTTCATCAAATCTGGAACTCTTCCAAAAAAGTTTGGACACCCCTGCTCTACATTATTGTCACCAAGGAGTTGATATTCATATAGTGGAGAGAGGTGGCAAAGAGTTTAGTGCAAATACTTTTGGAGACAGATTCAACAATTTTCCAAACAGTTCCCTGGGGAGTGTATGCATTTGCAGTGGAGACTGCAACAGGGGTTAACACTCTTGTGACTGGTCACAGAGATTAGGATACATACACTGGAGAGTGGTCACATCCATTTTATGGAGACTGATGACTGAAGGGTTGTACATATACTCTGGAGGTTGTCATTTTAGGAGGATAAGGGCACAATCTTGAGATTGAATAGTGGTTAAAGTTGTAAAAAAATGAATAAAGATAGAAAGGTACAGTGAAGGAAATAAGTATTTGATCCCCTGCTGATTTTGAATGTTTGCCCACTCACAAAGAAATGATCGGTCTAAAAATCGAATGGTAGGTATATTGTAACACAGAGACAGAATAGCAACAAATTCAAAAGAAATGCATGTCTAAAATTATGCACTGATTTGCATGTTCATGAGGGGAATAAGTATTTGATCCCCTTCACAAAACATGACTTAGTACTTGGTGGCAAATCCCTTGTTGGCAATCACAGAGGTCAGACGTTTCCTGCAGTTGGCCACCAGGTTTGCACACATCTCAGGAGGGATTTTGGCCCACTCCTCTTGGCAGATCCTCTCCAAGTCATTAAGGTTTGGTGGCTGATGTTTGGAAATTCCATCTTTAAGCTCCCTCCACAGATTTTCAATCTGATTAAGGTCTGGAGAGTAGCTAGGACACTCCAGGACCTTAATGTGCTTCTTTTTGAGCCACTCCTTTGCTGCCTTGGCCATGTGTTTTGGGTCATTGTCATGCTGAAACACCCATCCACGACCCATTTTCAATGCACTGGCTGAAGGAAGAAGGTTCTCACCCAAGATGTGACAGTACATTGCCCCTTTCATTGTCCCTTTGATGTGGTGCAGTTCTCCTGTCCCCTTAGCAGAAAAACACCGCTCAAAGCAGAATGTTTCCACCACCATGTTTGACAGTTGGGATGGTGTTCTTGGGGTCATAGGCAGCATTCCTCCTCCTCCAAACAAGGCGAGTTGAGTTGATGCCAAAGAGCTTGATTTTTGGTCTCATCTGACCACAACACTTTCAACCAGTCCTAATCTTCATCATTCAGATGTTCAGTGGCAAACTTCAGATGAGCCAGGACTTGTGCTTTCTTGAGCAGAGGGACCTTGCGGGCATTGCAGGATTTCAATCCTTGTCAGCATAGTGTGTTATCAATTGTTTTCTTGGTGACTGTGGTCCCAGCTGCCTGGAGATCATTAACAAGATCCTCACCTGTAGTTCTGGGATGATTCCTCACTGTTCTCATGATCATTGACAATCACGAAGTGAGATCTTGCATGGTGCACCAGACCTAGGGAGACTGACAGTTGTTGAAGAAGAGGAGGAGGGCACTGTGTCAGAAGGGGATTAATTGCGGGGTTGAGGACAAGATTAGAATCACCACTAAGTAACAAGAGACCCTTCTGGTGAGTCTGTAAACCAATAGAGGGGTGAGAAAAGAATCAAGTTTGCCACTAATTAGGGGCATGATATGTACAGAATGTCACCTCCTCATTCATGTAGTGTCCCCACCATGATCAAATATCGAGTACTGGTGGTCAAAAAAAAAACTGTGGAATGTGCGCAGAAGTTAAGTGAGTCTCCTGGAGACAAACAGGCTGTTTTTTTCTGGGAAAGAAGAGTACCCTTACCCTCTGTAATCTCATTGATGTATTTATCCAAGGAAGGGCCAAAACATCCACTGAAAACATTTGATCGGTGATGAAACGTGCTAAGGCGGGACTTCCCGAGATGTAATTTTTGCTCAGTGGAAAACATGCTGGCTCCAAGGTAAGGTGAGCTGCATCAGTTTCCTGATTTTTGGTAAGCAAGTAATTCTGGTTGTCAGATGGGCACCTATTGCGAGTGCATCTCCTTTGCTTTATATTGGACAGTTTTTAATAAAGATGGTGTGCAATGATACTTCTATTGGTTTGTATCCCCATAACTTTAAAACATATGCAACTGTATACACCTTTGAATGTCTTGTTCTGTGCCTCTTGGGGGGAAGGGGGGGTTGATTTCCATTGGAGAAGGAGAATGTTACATTAAGAGCTCTGACAGAGCTTCTTACTGATTATAAGGAGTCAACTAAATCCAGTGAGTGGTCACGTTTTAAAAAAGGGGCACTCTGGAGCACAAGTTTGATTTCAGCATTGAAGGTGATGAAGAGGTAACATTTAACAGACTTTTGGTTGAACAGATAGGACATTTTCCATATTCACGTTCTGACGCATAAGATTTCAGTCACGGACTTTAAGCACATTTCACCCACTGAGTTTTTCTGTTTAGATGTTTCATATTTGAGTCCATTAATGATAATTGTGGAAATACAGTACATTGAAGGGGTTATTGTAGTTATCTGCATGTTACACTTTGCCTATTCAGCACTTTATTACTGTGTTTCAAGTTAATATGTGAACAAAAATCACATTAAGATATTTTTTGGGGTAGAGAGAAGACTTATTATAGAAATCTGTTGAGGTGCATCTGCCAGGGAATTCATGCAGTAGCATATGGCTGTTGGCAACAGGTCCAACTGATTGTGGACAAAAGCAACCATCAGGACTCAACTAGGATCACGGATGATCCATTTTTTTCAGAAAAAAATGGTCAGACAGACTGCCATAGAACCAACTGCAGGTTGCACAATGGGGCCTGCCAGGGAGAAGAAAGCTTTATGGAATGCTTCTAGTCTCTTATCTATCAGGTCTTTGAGCAAATAATTATCCTCCACAGGGGCTAAGATAATCTTATTAAGGCAGGATCTACTACAGGATTTACCCACTTATGAAGGAAATATCATAAAATATATTTGTTGAAATGTTTTGTAGGAGGAAAATAAAATCTCCAATTGAGGCCAGTCCCCATACAGGACAGTTTCTCCCAGTGAGTGGATCGGAATGCTTTAGGTAATTTAATTGACCCCATAACAGTCACCTTGGTTTGACCAGACTAAGGTGGCTTCAAAGATGAGCAAAAGCATAGAAAGAAAATAAAAAGTAGCTATAGTTTCTTTTAGCTTGGGTAAAATCTCAGTTTAGGGCTGTCATCCTGATTGGATGCCCCAGGAGAAGAGGGATCCTCCCTCTCGATATCTCCCTCTTCCTCCTCAGGAATTGTGCGACTTCAGGGCCTAATGCAGCAATGTAGTTTAGTTGTAGATTGCTCTCGGTGGTCTACAAGATGTTTTTTTGGCGCTGCAGGAGTAATCATGCAGGGTATAAAATGTCAGCCAGTGGTGTCACACGTCCTTCAGCTCCTGGATAACGGATGATTAAACGCGTAGGGGGGCCTCGTAGGTGACTAACACATATGGGTGAGCAGCCGTTGTCTGCTTAGACCAGAGCAATACCTATTATAGTGATTTCTTATGCTTGTGATGCTAGTGTCGGCTCTGAAACTGTTAATGTGAGGGGTATTTAACACGTTTTTGCATTCAATAAAGCCTGGATGGTTTTACACTATGTGAATTCCTTTTTCGTCCTCCAAGTCCCATTCTGATTATAGGAAGAGCCAATTGACATATATACAGTATATATATATATATATATATATATATATTTATTTCTTCTGTGTTATATTTGCCTTTATGCAATATTGGTTCCAGAGGCGCTGTGTTCCCATCTGTTATCGATCATGCTATTGTCTGCTAGGATTGATTTGGGAGTCAAATTAGGGATTATAGCAGCCATGGACATCTTTCGGTATATGGACAAGAGAGCAGTCAATTTAAAGGAAGTGTTCAACTCTACAAATAAAAAGATTGGCATTAATCAGGAGGAAAATTTTAATTATATATTTGGAATTTAAAACACCTTTTAGAGAAACAAATTAAGATTATAAGTGTTATATTGCCTGTGATATTGGTTCCAGAGGCGCGGTCTCCATCTGTTATCTAGCATGCATGCAGAAGCAGCTTGAGTACAGGCACTCTCCATAGGCAACAATGGTGCCAAAAGTTTAAAAAGAACTGTTTAACTTGGTCTTTGTCGCAACAGCCTGCAAGCAGTTAGTGATTTACCTGTATCCCAAGATGTGGTTTAGGGAAGGCCACCCTGGAGCATGAATATTTAAAGGCCTTCTGCCCTTACTTACCATGAAAGATGCAGGATTTAAGAGGAATTAACCCTTTTTGGCTTTGCCATACACAATGGGGCATACCTCCACAGGGTTCTTCAAGGACATGGCTCTGCACCAGGACGAAAAACAGACAGACATGACCTGCAAACCTCGCTGCAGCTAACTCTATACATTGCTGTGGGCTCTCCTCTTGTCATACAGTGCAGAGTCTAGTGCCTCAGCAACATTATAGTCTGGCCCCGCGTCTTCTCAGCTGGCAGGGTCCAGGTATAGTCTCCCAAGGCTCTTACGAGCTGATAGCTGATCCAGAAGCTGCATGAAAAGCCACAGTGGATATAGCCAGCTAAGATTTTGAAAGAAAAAAAGCTCTGTATATTCATTCAGGAGAAAAACTTCCATGTGATATGATAAGCTGCTCAGTAGAAAGAGGTCCATCACCTAAGGACATTAGCAAAAAAACTGAGACTAGCTTTCTTTGCCAGTGTCCAATCATCTGCTGGTAGCTGTACATAACCCAGTCATCATGATTAACAAAGCTTACTGTATAATCAGGAAAAGTGTCTTAAATTTTGTTGAAATGACCAAGTTGGCTAGAAATTAGCAAATTCTTGAATTACAATGGATTCCGAACATCAAATGGTACTCAAATAAATTACTTTACCTGCATTAGTTCTGTTTTGCATTTGTTCTGATGTCTGAGCTTGGGATGAAAAATTATATTGCTGATATCCATTTGAATTAAGATACTGGGAACTGGGACTCCTCCTGCAGTCCCGAATACTAGAGAAAGTCTGTGAATGAGGAATGCCTCTCTGCAGTGGAGAGCAGCGACTAAGTCGAGGCTGAGGTGGTGGCAAGAGGTCAAAATCTTCATCTTCGTCTTCAACACTGTAACGATCAGATTCCTGGTCACTGTTGGCACATGGTGCTTTCTTTGCAGAGTATAGCGAAAGGCTAGAGCGATGTCTTGATACTGAACTGCAAGCAGAGGTAGATGCAAAATCTTGCCTTAAGCCTGCAAAACAAAAAATGATTGCTGATCAATGGGGACACAGAAACAAAAAGTTTGCCAAAAAGTCTAATCTACTCAAATAAATTGGCTTGGTTTACACTTTAAAGCTGAAGTAATGTACATATATAAATACCTTCTCATATCCAACTAAAGGATTAACATGTTATTAAAGTTTTTCAATCACCTCTTTTTAGACCCAGTGATATCATCACTGGGTCTGTCTGATGGTCCTAGCTTCAAGTGTAGTGGGAGGGGCTGGCAGGCACTTCTAAAAGAGATGCTGGGGATAGGTTTTTCACATAATGCTTGGGAACAAAATGATTTGATGTCAGAAAAAGCCAATAGCATTGAGGTAGGAAAGAGACAGGAGAGAAGTGATTGAATAACTAAAGTTCTTCAGAAAGAAATGACACAAGTGGACTCGAGATAGCTGCTGCTTCTTTAGAGGATTTTATTGCACAGATGCAAGCTTGCATGGAATTGAGAGTAATAGGTTTCAACAAAAGGAGAGGACTTGCTACAAGCATGGGAAAAAAAAAAAAAGGAGGGGGGGAGAGAGGAGGGCGATGGAGAGCGAGCGAGAGGAGAGCAAGAAAGAGTAGAGAGGGAGAGAGGGGAAGAGAGGGAGGGGGGGGGAGGGAGAGGGAGGGGGGGGGGGAGAGGAGGGGGGGGAGGAGAGAGGGAGGGGGGGGAAGAGAGGGAGGGGGGAAAGAGAGGGAGGGGGGAAAGAGAGGGAGGGGGGATTTATAGAGAGAGAGGGGAAGGGGGGGAAAAGAGAGGGTGAGGAGAGAGGAGTGAGGGGGGGAGAGAGGGGGAGGAGAGAGGGGGGAGAGAGGGTGAGGAGAGGAGTGAGGGGGGGAGAGAGGGGGGGGGAGAGAGGGGGGGAGGAGAGAGGGAGTCGAGAGGGGGAGGGGGGGGTGAGAGGGGGAGGCGAGGGGGGGGCGAGAGGGGGAGGCGAGAGGGGGGAGAGGGATGAGAGAGAGAGGAGAGGGGGGAGAGGGAGGGGAGAGAGAGGGGAGAGGGAGAGGGAGAGAGGGAGGAGAGAGGGAGGAGAGAGGGAGGAGAGAGGGAGGAGAGAGGGAGGAGAGAGGGAGGAGAGAGATGGAGGAGAGAGGGAGGAGAGAGGGGGGAGAGAGGGGGGAGAGAGGGGGGAGAGAGGGGGAGAGAGAGGGGGAGAGAGAGGGGAGGAGAGAGGGAGGAGAGAGGGAGGAGAGAGGGAGGAGAGAGGGGAGAGAGGGAGGAGGAGAGGGGAGGAGGGAGGGAGGAGAGCGAGGGAGGGAGGGGAGGAGAGCGAGCGAGGGAGGGAGGGAGGAGAGCGAGCGAGCGAGGGAGGGAGGAGAGCGAGCGAGGGAGGGAGGGAGGAGAGAGAGCGAGGGAGGGGAGGGAGGGAGGAGAGCGAGCGAGGGAGGGGAGGAGAGCGAGGGAGGAAAGGGGGGAGAGGGGAGGGGAGAGAGAGGGGGAGGAGGGAAGGGGGAGGAGAGAGAGGGGGAGAGAGAGGAGAGAGAGGGGAGGAGAGGGGGAGAGAGAGGAGAGAGAGAGGGGAGGGGGGAGAGAGAGAGGGGAGAGGGGGAGAGAGGGGGGGGAGAGGGAGAGGGAGGGGGAGAGAGAGAGGGAGGGGGAGAGAGAGAGGGAGAGGGGGGAGAGAGGAGAGAGGGAGGGGGAGGGAGAGAGAGAGAGAGAGGGAGGGGGAGAGAGAGAGGGAGGGGGAGAGAGAGAGAGAGGGAGAGAGAGAGGGGGGGGAGAGAGAGAGAGAGGAGAGAGAGAGAAGAGAGAGGGAGGAGAGAGAGAAGAGAGAGGAGGAGAGAGAGAAGAGAGAGGGAGGAGAGAGAGAGAAGAGAGAGGGAGGAGAGAGAGAGAAGAGAGAGGGAGGAGAGAGAGAAGAGAGAGGGAGGAGAGAGAGAAGAGAGAGGAGGAGAGAGAGAAGAGAGAGGGAGGAGAGAGAGGAGAGAGAGAGAGAGAAAAAAGAGAGAGAGAGAGAACAGGAAGAAAAGGGGAGAAAATCATATATATACACACACACTTATTGAACTCTCTCGCTCTCTCATTGGGGAGGGGGGAGGCGCAAAATTTTTGCGTTCCCTAGGGCAGCACAAAATCTAAATACACTACTGGCAACACCCATCACATTCCCTATTCATTAACTACCTCAGCCACTTCACAGACTTATAAACACATCAGAGAAGTGGAACAGTACATGGAAGGGTGTGTACAGTGGATAAGTAGGATCACTTCTTACTTTTACCTCCCCTCCAAATTATTTGTTTGGCATCACCTGTTAGCTAGAAGGCTGTACTTGTGAAGTTATGATGGGAATGAAGAAAATGCAGCGCCAATTCTACAATAATAATAATAAGTCACTTTAAATAAAGTCCATATAAGTCCCCCAAATTAATGGAAGCAGGTGCATAAAAGGAAGAAGTTAGATCCAAAAACCATCACCATACACCCAAGACAGATTGGCCTCTTACTGGACAATTTGACCGCACAAAGTCGGTCAACATGCGCAGTATGACATAACATCAATACAGCAATCGGTCCTCAATACAGATCCCCTCCAGGATGAAAAGTAACTTCTTCACCTTCAATGATCTCCAAATCGCAGAAACTCCCATGCGATGATCAGGGAATGGGTAAAGAGAAAAGGCAACTCATAGTGTAGTATTTAAAATCTAATTTGGGAAATTTATTTAGCTTCCACGTACATCAGAAGATAAGATAACCAACAAGGTAAAACAAGAGGTTTTTAACCAACAAGATGGCTGCTGTCCCTCCAGAGCACGATGACGTCATACTGCAAGGCTCTACCCAACGCGTTTTGTCAAAAAGACGTGGAAGGTTGATGGCCATCTTGTTGATTAGAAACTTCGTTTTCCCATGCTGGCTATCTTATATTCTGATGTATGTGGAACCTAAATAAATTTGCCAAATTAGATTTTAAAATATTACACTGTGTTGCCTTTTCTCTTTACTCATTCCCTGACCATCGGATGGGAGTTTATGCCATTTGGAGATCATTGAAGATGGAGAAGTTACTTTTCATCCTTGAGGGGATCTGTATTGAGGATCGATTGCTGTATTGATGTTATGTCACACTGCGCATGTTGACCGACTTTGTGCAGTCAAATTGTCTGGTAAGAGGCCAATCTGTCTCGGGTTTATGGTGACGGTTTTTGGATCAAACATTTTCCTTTTATGCACCTGCTTCCATTCATTTGGGAACTTATATGGACTTTATTTAAAGTGACTTAATATTATTGTAGAATTAGCGCTGCATTTTCTTAATTCACATCATAATATTGCCTTTACATGTGCAAGCTGCTTTTAATTTATTTTATTTATTTTTGCAGTTTAAAATCTGAGTGCAAGTGTTGATATATACTTGTGAAGTCATGCCTATTGTTTCTTGCTGTGTTATATTTTGTTAAAGATTACTGTACAGTACAAAGTACAACAAAAATACAATAGCACTATATGCAGAAAAAAATATAATACAGCTGATGGGAGAGTTTAAGTTTAAAGTATACACTAAAGACAAATCATTTTTTTTTAAGTTTTGCATAGAGTGCAGCGATTAGAACCCCTGCAAGTTTCTACTGCTGTCTATTCCCCCCCGTTAAGGAGATTCATCCTCTCGATTTGTCCTGTTTACTATTATCGTTGACAATGGAAGTAAAAGAAAATCCCCAAATTTTGAGTTGTCCTCAGAAAAGTAAGAGAGGGGAAATCTTCCTATGGGGACACTAGTTTTGGTGACCTGGGGGTCTCCAAAGGATTCCCTTAAATTGCAGGGATTTCCTCTCACTAACTGTTTGACTATGGGAAAGGAAGTGAAGGGAAATCTCTGAAACGGAACACAGATGGCGAGAAAAAAAAAAAAAATCTGACGGGTTATAACCGTTCCTTACTCTATCCAAAATGGGAAAAAAAAGTTTTGCCTATAGCTCTACTTTCAAGCCTGGGAAACAAAACTAATGCATGATCTTCTAATGTCCTCAAGACCGAGCCAGGTTACAGAGACCTGTACTGTACAAAAGGACACTGAGGGACAGTCCACCATTGGAGAATGGGGGAGCGCCTTCTGTCAGGTGAGCAGAGAACCAGGCAGGTAGAATGCTTTTACCATCTCCTAGAGCACAGGTATCAAACTGGCGGCCCCCCAGCTGTTGCCAAACTACAAGTCCCATGAGGCATTGCAAGATTGACAGTTACAAGCATGACTCACAAAGGCAGAGGCATGAAGGTAATTGTAGTTTCATAACAGCTGGAGGCCCTGCCCTAGAGAGACACAAGTAATTAACTTTTACAGCACAGATGCAGCCACACATAAGGGAGTAGTTTTGGTTCTACTTGAGTTTGGCTTTAACATATCTACCATAACATAAAAGAGCTTACTTTCTTCTTGTAATCGTGCCATGATCTGAACGTCAGTGAGGTCTTGTAATTTGTATCCCATAGCAATTGAGTCATCTTCCAGTTCTGAAGTACTAAGTTCACTGTCTATTGAAGACTGTGGGCTCAAAGGGGAGCTCTTCAAATTGTAACCTGAAAAACAAGAACATTATTAAAATGATATACGATACATATATATTATCAACACAAACTAGGATATTAGAATCAAACAAAAGAAAAAAATGAGAACAAAAAGTTATAATACGAATCGTGAAACATAAAATGAAGTTGTGACTGTTGTGACCCATTTACTTATAGCGAGTTAAATAAAAAAAGGTTCAAACCAATCTTTAGGTGCAGTCAGTATAGTCCCTTCAGCCAAAAATAAATACCAAAAAGTAAATAACCAGAGCATAAGGCTCTAGAAAAAAAGAATCTGTATTGATGGGACACGTTGCATATGCACATAAATAGATTCATCTTATGTACTATTAAATATCATTATTCATATAAATATCACAAAAATGATAGAAAAGCAAAGTAAAAACCACACCACTCTACCTTCACTTAAAATCAGACAACATTGTCTTGCAATCCCCTTTATTATATCTACCTAACCACTTTTGAAGTATCTATAATATTGTTTATGTCCTTTAGTGGTTTAGGGGCGTTTTCCTTCTTTTGTGACTGAAGCATAGTGGGTTAAATGTTGGTCAAGACCTATGGGTTGTGGATACCTATACTTGTGCTGCGATTCAAAAAAGTGGTTAGGCAAACATAATATAGGGGATTGCAAAACAACATTTTCTGCTTGTAAGTGATGGTAGAGGGGTATGTTGTTTGCTTTTTATTTTTTGTATAATTTTTGTAACATTTATATGAAAAAAAAAAATATTTAATACTACATAAGCAGAATCTTTTTATGTGTATTTGCTACGTATCCCATCAACACAGCTTCTTTTTTTTCTAGAGCCTTATGCTCTGGTTATTTACTTTTTGCCATTCTCTTATAGCACGCCCTGGTTCACACCGAACACGATTTTAAAGTGGTGTGATTTGGTCCCATTTAAAGAGCAACCTCAAAGTAGAGCTGATATAGACACAGGTAGATTTCAGTGTCACTTACCTTATAGTCTAAGAGCAAAAAATTGCACTGAAGTGGTAAAAAAGTAATACAGGAACTATTTTTCAAATCGAACTACTTGAAATTGCACCTATTAAGACAGTGCCATAGAAATACATTAGATGTGACTTCAGGTGGATTTTGTAAATCTCATTTCGCACCTGATGTCGCATCATTGTGAACCAGGGCTAACTGCGATTAGGTCCCTTCTCTAGGTGGAGCCTTGGTCAGGCCCTCAAACTCCCTTTACTGTCCCTCTAGTAACACTCAAAATAAAAAACAGAGGATTGCTGAGTGGCAAGGTTTTGCACTAAAGGATCCCTTACAGCAGAAGTGTTGAGGACTGTTGAAGGAACACTTCCACACACAAACCTCACCACATTTGGTAATGTGGCAGACTTATGGAGAAATGTCCCTGTGCTAGTCATCAGTAGCTTGCTGGAACAACGTTTTAATACAGCAGCAAAGTTCCAATTGTAGCCATAACTAAAAACAGCAATTTGCAGCTTTTTCATCCCAATAGATTTAAAGGAAATAAAATAATAATTAAAAAAAAAAATAAACCAAACCACACAGTTTGAGAAAGGTCATTTTTAAATGCTGGCACGTTTTCGTGCATCACTCTTAAGATCCACACTGAGAATCAGCAGTCTAGTGTAGGACAGGTTTGACCACAGCCACTTAAGTTCTGGTCCTTAAAGAAAGACATGTCCAGAATTATTTTGATGCATGGACGCCATTACTGTATTTAAAGTGTGTAGACTCCACTGAAGATAGATTTAGTCTGATATATGGTCATAGTACGGACTGCTTCAAAACCAGCAAAAGTGGTAGTTTGGTCTGCAGGAAAAAACAGTCCTAAATGAAGAGGACAGTACTGTAGGCAATTGCTTTCAATCCATATCGGAAACAAAATGTGAATACAACTTGTTACCAGCACATGTTAAGATCTATTTGTGAAAGTATGCATTCCACAAGCAGCCACATGTAAACTTTTGATGATTTACAGCATTGTGCACAAAATAGAAAAATAAATTGTAACCAACAAACACATCCTAAAACATCCATTACAGCCTTTAGAATAAATGATAGCAAAAAAAAAGCAACAAAAAAATCACCATAAAGGAAGAAAAGAAAAAAAAAAAGTACAGTGGCATAAAACAACCACAAAACGTCAAAACATCAATGGCAAAATAAAAAAAAATTAAAAAAAAAAAAACACAGCAAATAGAGAAAGCCAATTACACTGTGAAAAGGGAGAAAAAACCCACAACATTTCAGTGCAAAATAGAATAAGTTGTAGGTTTACCTGTCTTTTCTGGTGTTAGTATTGCTTTAGTTGGGGTTTTAAGGATGCTGGGAGAATTAACACCGTTGCAATATGGAGTGAGTCTCGCAACTGGACTATATGGAAAAGACATGGAAACAGGAGTGGAAAAGAGACTCCTCCAGCGACCAGCTAAACATAAAGGAACAGAAATCACTGATTAGTATTCTTTTAAAACCATAACAAGCACGGTTCAGGCTAACAGTAATTGAAGGTCATCTTCACCCAAAACCAATAATTCAGTTTTCCAGAAAGCCAAATGATCAAGGGGAATCAAACCTTTGATGTCTCAGTTTTGCGGACGTTGGGTTGCATAACGCCACCATATTCTATCAATTTTGGGTGGAACTTCAATACACAGGGCTTAAGTCAATATCATTCATGGGATCACACATACCTGTTCTGACAAGACTGCATTTACACTTATTAACACCTACAGAGTGTTAGGTGGAATTGCATTAATGTAACACATCTATGATACTTTGAAGGCCCAATCCAAAGTTTTTTAGAAAAAAGTTTAATAAGCACTAGTTACTAGATACCAGTAGGACTTTAAAAGATGTCAATAGTTTAGTTTTACTTCACACACAGATAGCTATAAAAACAATAATTTAAAAAAATCATAAGGATTTTATCGTACCGATAAGTAAAAGTCAAATCACAAATACACAGTTGTTTTTATGTTTAATAAATCAGAGAGATCCCATAAGGGTATGTATACCTCAACTTAGGAACTCCTGTTCTAGTGAATACAATACATGGCCTCATTTAGGCCTCTTTCACATGGGAAGATCAATCGGGTCCGCCTGTCTTTTTCAGGCAAACCCGATCGGACCATCCATTGCCCTCTGTGGAGTGGCAGATGTAAATGGAAATGTGTCCATTTACACCTACCTGCATCCGATCTGATCCTTTCTACTAAAAACAGAAGGATGGGATCCAGACAGGTGGACTGTTTACATCCGACTGCCCAAAGAGGACAGCGTGCAGAGTCTGTGGCATGGGCCTGTCATCTGCCTGCTCATCGGGTACCAGATTCCTACTTGTGGAGTCCGCCTGTGTGAAAGGGGCCTTAGGAGTACCACTAAATGCTCCTGTGTGCCAGTCTAAACAAGTACCAAATCCAGGCAATGCACATCTCACAGCAAAAAAAAAAGCCATGATTTTTTTCCAGTTGCAGAGCACAGGAACTTTAGTCTTTACCATGGATTATACAGTTTGCAGCTACCTGCAGATGACTAGATGCTGGGGAAAGAAAAAAAAAAAAAAAAGAAGACTGCAGCGAAATCCCCCTATATAACCCTTCCCACTCCCAGATAGACTCCATTTTGTAATAAGCAATAGGGAGATCATAAGAACAGTAGGGAAGGAACTGTGGTCCATACAGTACTCCAAGAAACTAATTTTACTGGCAAGTCAAAATTCCAATTCTCTTAGTTGTATATTACAGGGCAAAGAAACTTTAGTCTTTAACATGGGACATGCAAAAGCTATAAAACAGATGGGTAGACAACACAGCCACCAGGTCCACATAAGAGCGGATCCAGAATGGCTTGATAGACAGAGCAGCTTGTAGTACCTTGTGCTTGAAATTGGTGCTTGAACATTTACCTGGTAGAACTTAAACAAGTTAACAGAAGCCCAGGTGGCAGTATTACAAATCAGTAAAGAATGTCTGATACTAAAAGCCCATAAAGCAGATCTGGTAAAGTGTGCCTCAACAGGGACAGGAGAGATGGCAGTAGCAGAGAAGTAGATTCTCACAGCACATACCACATTAAGACAGTGGAGAGAAATTTCAGGGCATGACTGAATAAAGGACAAATATCCAGGTTAAGATGCAAGAGAGAGAGACCAGCTTAAGGAGGAAGGAGGCTTTAGGCTACAAGACAACCTTATCCTTATGCAATACTAACAAGGAATAGAAGGCCCCCGCTTACAATCTAAAGGAAGGGGGAGGTGGTACAAAAAGTGATAGCTGCAGGGGATGATCTGATGGAGGTGACTCAAGTACAGTTCTTCTTAGGTAGAGTTGGGTAAGCTTTTCTGAATAAGAGTTCTCAAAGTTCTCCAAAAGGTGGACAGCATGGGGGCTGACCTGGCATAATGGGGTAGGAAGTTCCAGAGGACAGGTTCTGGAGAAGTCCTGAAGGTGAGCATGGGAGGAGGTGACAAGGGAGCTAGAGAGGAAGACATCTTGGGAGGAACGGAGCGAAGGTTTTAGACGATATCAGCAGATGAGGTTGGTGATGTAGCTAGGGGCAGTGTTGCAGGTGGCTTTGTATGTTGTGGTTAATTTTTTTTAATTTTATACATTGGGCTAGTGGAAGCCAGTGAAGGGATTGGCAGAGAGATACAGCATTATCTGATCGATTGGTGTATAATTCTAGCAGCAGCATTCATAATGTACTGAAGGGGGGATAGCCCATGTAAAGCTAGGCCAGTGAGGAGAGAGATGCAGTAATCAAGGCAGGATATAACCAAGGTGTGGATAAGATGTTTTGTGGTGGTGTTAGTCAGAAAGGAACAAATTCTGGAAATGTTGAGGCAGCAGGATTTAGCCAGTGATTGGATGTGGGGCCTGATGGAGAGGTCAGAATCTAGGATTACACCTAGCACCCTGGCATGTAGGGAGGGACAAATGGTTGTGCTGTTGATCTTGATGGTAAAGTCATGAGTGGGGGGGGGATCGGGGAGGAGGAAATGTTACAAG